AGTCCCCCGGTGCACACCTTGAATCTCTAGACCTCTTTAGTCGACATGGTTCTCATCCAGGAGTTTGTGTTTTCAAAGTGAGATGGGAGTAACATTCACTTGGCCCCGACTATTCTAACTAGTGCAATGAAGAACTATAGTGTATACCATGTTGATTGTTTACCGAGTTGTATTGGTATAAGTAGGTTTACTGTGGGACAAGCAAAGACCTAAGTGTGGAGGAGTTGATAACACCAAAAATTGTGTTATTTAGCCCCTATTTGCAAAATTGAAAATTGTTGGTGTCAAGTTCGGCTATGTTTAAGAACGGAGATTCCAAAATTGACTCATGCCTTGAAAAGAAAAATACAGAGCACCTTCAAAGAGCCCATTGTTTTTAGAGTCTCCCGGTGCACACCTTGAATGTCTAGACCTCTTAAGTCGACATGGTCCTCATCCAGGAGTTTGTGTTTTCTGGGTGAGATTGGAGTAACCTTCACTTGGCCCTGACTATTCTAACTAGTGAAATGAAGAACTATATTGCATACCAAGTTGTACAGGTATGGTAAGTTTTCTTGGTGACAAGAAAACACCTAAGTGTGGAGGAGTTGATAACACCCAAAATGGTGTTATTTAGCCCCTATGTTTAGGGTCGTTTTATGTCATTTCATGGTCTCATTAGTTGATAATTCATCAAATGAATCCCTAATATGTTCCTCATAGATTATGATTTCATTTGAAGGTGTTTTGGATGATACATAGGTTTTAGGTAGGAAAAGGGGGCACAAGTGTAGAAAGGGGGCAAAAATGAGTGATGACAGCCAGGGGGGTCGAGATCATTGTCGGGATCATGGAGATTGTGCAATCCAGAAGGAAGATCGGGAATTGAATCCAATTTTCACGTCCACGATCTTTGGGGATGTGACCGGGAGCTCGGAGAAGCTATCGTCAAAGGAAGACATAAACTCCCGATAGTCGACATGCAGGCTTTACTTCCTAGACTGCGAGACGAGATTGCGGCTTTAACTTAGGGATTGTGAACGCGAAGTCCAGCCACACACTCTCGCATCATCATATCCAGAACGGTATGGTCTCAAGATCGGGGCTTCTTAGCAAAGATCACGGCCGTGATCTCCTGTCCCATACCTGCAACATGCCAGTCATCACAGAAATTTATAAATAGGGGATTCCTCTACTTTAGTAGAGTGGCTTTACGAAGATTTCTTGTTCCAGAGTGAGGTTAGAGGGAGATCTAGAAGCTTGGAGAATAACAAGTAGAGGAGAGCACTGGAGGGGGATTTTCATCACTTGAAGACCCATTTTCATTATTTCTTCCCATCTTTTCATGTCTCTTCTACCCCTCTTCATGGGGTAATCCATCAAGGTACTTTGGGGCCTAGTCCCCCAAACGCTAACCTAGGTTTCACATGTATTAGGATGTTTTATGCTTGATTGTGGATGATATTGAATCTATCTATCTATGTCTATTTGGTATTTGTTTCTTTCTTGCAACAAGTAGTGTGGGATTGTATGTATCTCATTTGCCCTAATTGCAACTTAGGTGGTAAGGAATTTATCATTCTCCTTCTTGTGATTTATGGAAGAATTGAGTTTACCTAGAGTTTTTATTTCTTTATCTATTTTATTTATCCCTTGAACTTGTCTCTCTGATTCTTTTCGTGATAGCCTACCACTTAGTATTGCATTATTAGAGTGGATTAGATTTGTTTGGCATCTTAGATTAGATGAATGATCTAGCATTCTAGTATGGTGGACGAAGCGACCATACCCCTGCCTATTTAATGTCCACCTAGGTAAAGCTAGGGCATCGAGTGTGTGACCATGGACTCGAAGGACTAGTGTGCGGATGGGTAGAATCCATTTAGAGGAGATAGGTTGTATCCCTACAACATGAAGCTAGCTGAGGTGACATAGGGCTAGTGAACCAATGTAGGAGTGCAATCGGTTGCATGACCATTGAACCGATCACTAGATTAGTTATCTCTAAACCTCGATTACCATAGATCGTACTTCCATCCTTTTCAAGTTATCTCCAGCGATTTGGGCGAGGAAGGAAACCAAAGTACCTCTTCTCTCGTATCGATCTTTAGTTCATAAATCTCCAACTGCACACCTACTAAGCAACAGGTCGACTAGATAAAAATCGAGCCTAATAACCTAGGAAACCATGACCCTGGGAATACGATCTCGGTCACGACTATACTATTTTTTCGTTCTATGGTGCACTTGTCATAGATTGGTTGGCCTAGATTGGGGTAGTTAGTAATGTTGACGATCACTTTTATAAATGTAAAGCTCGATGTCATGACTAATCATTGAGAGAGAGGATGAATGGTCCAATATCGACCGAAATATCCTTGACCATGCCTCTAGATCGACAAACTGTGTGTTCGTCTAGCTCGATTTCCATGGTTCCGTCCTATAATCTTTTTAGTTTTAAATACTTGTATACACAGTAGGGCTAAGCGTTAAGACTAGCCGCAATACCGATGAGAGCATGAGTCACGTGTAAGTTGTTGAGGACTAAAGAAATTTCTATGCATTCCTGTCTAGATTCATATTTCACAACCTCAATTCATGCTTGACCTTTTCAATAGAATCTCCACAAACTCTACTTTGAAAGTTTGTTCTAGTTCAAGCGTGTCGCCTCAAAAAACCTTGATCTCTTCCTTTAGGTTCTTCTCTCTATTGCTCTAAGAAATCCTTGAGCTCTTTCGGCATGGAGGACTGCGGTTAAAGAAGCGATGTAGGGCTCCATAGAATAGCATATTGACCCTGTATAGAACTGCTAGTTGGTCATACGTCGTTAGAGCTTGTTGTTGAGTAGTGTTATACCCTTGGAATCACTGCAAGCCTCATACAGAGATTCAAAAGTAGGCTACCCAAAGAGAGCAATCTGTTCTCTTAGATCGTTGGTTCTCCATGAAGAGAAGAACTCTTCTATGAAAGATTAGACTAAATTGTCCCGCATATGGAAGGTACCTGATGCTTGGCAATTTAGCCAACTCTTTGCTTTCCTCCTTGTGAAGAAAGGAAATAGACATAGTCAAATTGCACCTAGCTCAACACCGAGATGTTGTGCAGAATCACATATTTCCCTTAACGTTTTGATGTGTTCGAAAAAAATTTGTTATGTCATCCTTCAAAATGTCTAACATTTTGGACCATGCAAATTGGAAGTCAACAGCTCAAAATTTGGGACAGTTTCCAATAGTAGAACTATGATGGAATCTATGTTTGCAGCTTGAAGCTTGGTATACTCATATAGAATTTGTGTCGCTATGCCTCATGGAGATGTTGGTTCAGAAGGCGGTATATTGTTTTCCACTTCTAAACACTTACTATAGAGAGCATTAAGGCAAGGAGCTATGATATGCTTTCCTTTAGAGGCTCTCTTTCTCGCTAGTGGTGTTTTACACTAAGCTGATTAAGAGGTACCACTATGATAAACAAGATATTGGACTGCCCTTGGTTTGTGTTTACACAAAAGTAGTGGCAAAGGCACCTTAAGCCCAGTGGAAGCTTTCACCTCCCCCCCCCCCCCCCCCCCCCCCCCACCCCACCCTCTCTCCCCCTCAACTAGCAAAATTATGTAAAATTACACATAATACAAACATAATGAAAGAAGACATGAAAAGACTAAAAACAAAAATACTCTGAACAAGAAAAATAAAAAAAAATTAACACGAGACTCAAAACAATAACTGAATTTATTCTCTATTGATTCTGCTTAACTGCGACAAACGTAAGCCGAATCTATTCGACTAACTAATCCAATCAACCCTAACTACCTCTACTACTCGGCCCCTTCTCTCCTACCCAACATTACTAATATTAATGATACTAACAAAATAAAAATATCTATAGTCATAATTATAGTTAGCATTATAACTTATTTCCATAAGGGGTTAAAGGTCAATGTCCGCTTAATTTTGAAAGTTTGAGGTTAACTCTCTCTCTCTCTCTCTCTCTCTCTCTCTCTCGGATTGTCTCTGTCGCAACCGTCCCTCCGGAGGTCCGTGGTCGCCGCGTCGGCATTTTTTGGGAGTCGCCATCGATCTTACTTGGAGTGGATCGAACACTCGTTGGTCGGCTCTAAATTTAGGGTCAGAACCGAGATATGGTCTGCGGTTAAGAGATTCGGGTTCAGGAGTACGGTTACGTGTGGGGAAGTGAAATCACACCCCACAACGCCCTAAATCGGTACTACTTAAGTTGATAAGTTTTTATACGAGTTAGGTGTATTTTAGTAATATTTTTGTAATTTTAGGGTCCCACAAGACCATTTATTGATTTTATCGTATTAGTTTATTATTAGGTATTTTAGGTATTTTTAGGGCCTTACTGGACCATTAAAGAATTTAAATTGTATTAGTTGTAAATTAATTATACGCCTACTGATGTAAAAATTAAAAGATAAAGTTAACTGGTTAGTTGGACTCGAACCTTATCGGTTGCCTACGTACCCGTTAGACGAGATCAAAGTCCACGTAGTTCGTTTGGGCTATGATAATTTCAAATAAAATTATTACCACGTTCCACTGACCGTGGTTCTCATATCAAAATTTATTGTTAATAAAATTTAAGTTGATATTATGAAATTATAAAATGATAATATAATAATTTCAGTTATTAAGAGGAGATTTGATGTATTAGAAAAGAAACGAGATAAACTTAATCCGCAATTCTACATTTCGTATTAAGGATTTTAAAACAAATAAAAGTAAATGGGATGTTTACATTTGTGCATGACGGGCCAGCAGCCCAATTGGCCAAAATGCAAGTTGTATTGTGCGTTTAGACCTACGGATGCGGGTTCAAACCCCGCTCTTAACCTTTTCTTTTTAGGATTTCTCGTTTTAATGTAGAGAAGGGGAGGGTATTTTAGTAATAACCCAAAAACACGGTGGCAGAGTTATGTAATTTGAGGAAACCCTAAGGGTAATAAGGCATTTTAATCGATGGGGTATAAATAATCTCTAATGAAACCCTAATCAGTCTAAAGAGAGGTGGCCACCCTCTCTCTCTCGTCCCTCTCATTCTTGCATCTCTCTCTTCCTCTCGATCCTTCCACTTCTCTCTTCCCCTCCTCCAAACCAAACCTCTAGCCTTCAATCGTCGTCTTCTCCCCTCTTACCTCTCTACCGCCACCACTCTTTTTCTTCTCCTCGTCTCCAACCAACAAGAGACTTTTCTCTTCGCTATGTTGGCCAAGGAGAACGCCCCCGCTCCCAGAATGGAGTCATCTCGTCCTTCCCTCTTTCTTTTCTTCGATTGCTGGACACGAAGGCGATTCGAACTCTCTGATAGACCAAAAATGCGGCGGACCAGGTAAGATCTCGGCTTGCATGTCTATTTTAAGGCTTCTCATTTGTGTTACTTAGGATCCTAATCTGGGTTTTGATTTGGTTTTATGCGAGGGAAGAATAAAAAACTCGCCATTGAATCTGGTCCCCGCCGGCGGCAGTGGAGACAGAATACTCAAGCAGACTAGATAGATTTTCGATCTAGGTTGGATCTCGGATTGCATGTGGTTTTTTTTAATTCAGTTCAAAAAATTGAGTTCTGATATTATTATTTTTTGTGTTTTAATTTGGTTTTTTTTTAATTTTCGGCTTCGGATCTATCGCGCGGTGACGGGGGGTCAGTGGCGACGAGGATATTTTTCGCCGGCGGTGACTGAAAGCTGACGGCAGAGGAGCATAGGTGAGTTGGGTAAGTTTGTTTTCTGAGTTTTTTCGTGTTTTTAAACTTTGAAGGACTCTGACTAATCGATCATGTCTTATTGCAGGTTTCAGGAGGGAAGAGATCTAGGTGAGGGACTCTTGAGAAATTTTTAACTAAAGAAAAATTGGATTACATGGCTAAAGACTTAATGATTTGTGAACCTAAATGCTAAAAAAAATGGTTGTGTATGTGTTCTGGAATTTTGGTGTTTGGTAGATTTGGTCTATGGTTTGGATCTAATTCCAGATATGATAGAAGTTCCTAAAAAAAACTTGTTTTTCTTGTAGTTTAAGTTTAATTAACATGCTGTAAATTGGTATTTTGACGATTGGAATCATTGTTATCGTTAGTGATTTTGCTAGACCATGGACTAAATCACTGCTACTGCTTGATTATATCAAATTTTGGACTCTAAATCACTGCTACTGCTTGTGATTTATTGAGATTATGATTTTTGATTGGTAAACCGGTAAGGGTTTGTGAATCTGAAATTTTATTGTGTTTATTGTTGCCTAGATCTGGATTTTGATTTAGTTTGTTTATGTATGATGATCTAGTGTTTATCAACTACATGCTCAAGGATGGTATAAAAGCATGGCAGAAAATTAAAATAGACTATCAATTGATAAGCAAAGTAAATACATGCTCAATTGAGAGAAGCTTAATTCCGAAATGGACTTGCTATGAGCATATTTTATTTTAAGTAAATAGAGTGCTTGAATACAAATGCCTTTGTAAAGTAAATCGCACGAATATAAATAGGCAAACTGATACTAATTATAATGGTACAATGATCTACAAACTACGCTAAATGACATGAACTTTACCAAGAACAGTGGAAACAGAAATAAAAGCACTAACCTTATTAAGATTTTGGCTCCAATAACGCCTACTTGATGCTGCTCCGATCCGATTCCTGGACTCAGCTTGTAGTAATGAAAAATATTTAGAGTGTTTTAGAATTTTCTGTATCTCTGTTTTCTTCTCTTCCCCCCCCCCCCCCCCCCCAAAATCAAGAGCTGAAGAGCTCTACTTATAGCTAAATCGTATGCCACGTGTTGTTTCACCATTAGTCTTTGATAAGACTTGAAATGTCGTGTTTCTTTCTGATAGGTCGAATTTTGAGGCTGCCCCAATAGCCTCCACCTAGCTTGGTCAGTTTTGACTGATCAGGCCTGTTCAAGATAGGCTTGGCGCACAATTTTAGGTTCTCTAGGCTTGGGTTGGGATGGACTTCAATTTGGGCCGAACTCTAGGCTTGATCTGTCTTTGAACTGTGGGCAGATCTGAGATGACTTTCTTTTCTTTTGCAGGTTGCTGGTTTGGACCTCCAAGTCTACCGCCCTTTTTTTTTTTTTTTTGGTTTTGTATTTGTGAACATGATTGACTGTTAGGAATGTAGGAACATTGTAATAAGGTAGATGATTGTATAAACCTTTTAAATTCTTTAATAATATGATTTCTACTTTCCCTGTGCATTCAAAGCTTGACACTCAATTCGAATGCATAATCAAGTATAAAACTTGAATCCAATATCCCATTCCTGTGTAATACGAACAACCCCGATTGGTGAGAGACTGCTTTATAAGTGTATTGCTCACAAAAGAGATTGCTTCATAAGTGTATTAATCACAAAAATTTTCTAATCATCATTCAAGGTCAAACTCATTATTATTTTCCAACTTAAGTGAACCAAATATCCCGATTTAAAGTATATGAAGAATCCAGACAAAATGTGGTGTCTACAGTTGCCCCCCTCTGTATATCTCTTTTGTAAAAAGAGTTATACAAAGTTCCTATCAAGACATCCACATTTTGTATATGAATATTTCAGAAATGTATGTTGAACTGACCATTTGGTAACAATGACTGATTCAAATTGCTACGATGGTGGTAACTGAATTGCAAAGAAAATGGTAGAGATAAGATCAAACTGACCATTTGGCAACAACGATATACTCAGGTTGTTCCTGACAGAAACAAATCGGTCAATTTGGAGAACCTTAGCAATGAAATCAAACTAGTCATTTTGTAACAACGATATACTCAAGTTGCCTGTGGTAGAAACCAAGTTGGCCAATGAGAACGATGATAGCGATAAAATCAAGCTAATCATTTTGGTAACCATGATATGCTCAAGTTGTCTAAGATTGAAATCAAATTGATGATTGTAATAAGATCAAGTTTATCATTTTGTAAAGGATATTGTACTCAAATTGTTTGTGATAGAAATCAATTCAAACAATGAGGAAGATGTTAGTGATATTGATCAAACTAACAATTGTGCACGTACGATTTACTCAAATTTTCTACGATAGAAATCAAATAGAACAATGAGGAAAGTGTCAGCAATAAAGATCAAGCTAACAATTTTTTTAAGGGGCGTTGTACTCAAATTGCTTGTGAGAGGAATCGAATCAAGCAATGAGAAGATGTTAGTGATAAAGATCAAACTAACAATTTTGTAAAGGATATTGTACTCAAATTTTCTATGATAGAAATCAAATAGAACAATGAGGAAATGTTAGTGATAAGATCAAACTAACAATTTTGTAAAAGATATTGTACTCAAATTGTCTATGATAGAAATCAAATAGAACAATGAGAAAATGTTAGTGATAAAGATCAAACTAACAGTTTTGTAGAGGATATTGTACTCAAATTGTCTATGATAGAAATCAAATAGAACAATGAGAAAATGTTAGTGATAAAGGTCAAACTAACAATTTTGTAAAGGATATTGTACTCAAATTGTCTATGATAGAAATCAAATAGAACAATGAGAAAATGTTAGTGATAAAGATTAAACTAACAATTTTGTAAAGGATATTGTACTCAAATTGTCTATGATAGAAATCAAATAGAACAATGAGGAAAGTGTCAGCGATAAAGATCAAGCTAACAATTTTGTAAAAGTCGTTGTACTCAAATCACTCGAGATAGGAATCAACTCGAGTAATGAGAAAATGTTAGCGATAAAGATCAAGCTAACGTGTGGTAAATGCGTAGTGATATTTCGCATGAAAAGTTTTCATGTACATTTAGAAAGACATTTTAGGAATTTTAAGGAAATGATTGTGATGCATAGCAAGTCACTTTGATGTATGATGATGTTATGTAATGAATCTCATAATGAATTTGAGAATGATAGTATGATGTGTCATGCCAATGTAGTCATGAACGTTGAGTAAAAAGGGGATATGATGCATTTGACAATGCTATGAAAGCTATGTTGCTTTATTTTTTTGTTTGTTGTCTTGTTTTTGCTCGGGGTTGCTTTAAATTGCTCATCTACTAGGAATTGCAATTTCCTTTTTGTTCAACTTGATCCTCAAGTTTTGCTTATTGTCTTGAATATATCTTCTTAGTAGTAGTTGTGTGATGATATGCTTTGTAAGGTGAAGCGATGATGTATGATGCTTCATCCTTCTTCTCGGCCAGGTATGGGCCAGCATGTTTCAGAGTCGTATACTTCTCGGTCAGTGCGGTATAATAGGACTTCTTTCTCGCTATGGCTTTGAAGCATAATCGATTGGTTGGTTAGCTTGATGAGATCTGAATGTTTTCAGACTCCCTGAGATTTTTTTTCATCAACTCATGCGTGAAAAAGTTGATTAATACGATTCTTGGGCACTCAGACTTCCCCTTCTTCCATGGTGGACCATTTTTGCCCCTGAGGATCTGTTACTCACTTTCTATTCTCCGGAACAAAGAGTGAATATATCAATCTTGACTTAAGAAGAAAGCAAAAATGTTTGAAAACGTTTATTAGAGAATTAAGATTGAAAGCCATATCAAGATCTTGCTTTTGCTCGGGGTTGCTTTAAATTGCTCATCTACTAGGAATTGCAATTTCCTTTTTGTTCAACTTGATCCTCAAGTTTTGCTTAGGTCGAAGCGACTTTGAGCTTATTGTCTTGAATATATCTTCTTAGTAGTAGTTGTGTGATGATATGCTTTGTAAGGTGAAGCGATGATGTATGTTGCTTCATCCTTCTTCTCGGCCAGGTATGGGCCAACATGTTTTAGAGTCGTATACTTCTCGGTCAGTGCGGTATAATAGGACTTCTTTCTCGCTATGCATTTGAAGCATAATCGATTGGTTGGTTAGCTTGATGAGATCTGAATGTTTTCAGACTCCCTGAGATTTTTTTTCATCAACTCATGCGTGAAAAAGTTGATTAATACGATTCTTGGGCACTCAGACTTGCCCTTCTTCCATGGTGGACGATTTTTGCCCCCGAGGATCTGTTACTCACTTTCTATTCTCCGGAACAAAGAGTGAATATATCAATCTTGACTTAAGAAGAAAGAAAAAATGTTTGAAAACGTTTATTAGAGAATTAAGATTGAAAGCCATATCAAGATCTTGCTTTTGAAAAGTGTGTGCAAACGGGAGAAAACCATTTTTGTGTGGTAGTTGTCATGTTGCCAAATTTGATTTTCTTTTTAATAAGAGAAGTGTAAGCCAAGCCATGAGAATATCAGTAAGCCCTCCCTCTCACTCTTGCTTTTGATTTTGCTCGCTTTCACTCCCGCTTTGTATTTCTCTCATCACTCAATCCTATAAGTGATTTGAGTGTACCACACTTCAACTACCACTAAGATTCTGGTCACCTTGAGACGTCCTTTATCTGGTGGCCAACTGTGTCCCTTGTGAAGAGTTACTCAAATATGGAAGCCCTCTGTATGATTGATTTAGGAGACCTCCATATGGCTTCGTCGCAGACGTTTTTAGTCTCCCATGAAAGAGGCTTTTGTCCGATATGACTTTGAGGATGTGAGTCTCCTTGTTCTTGAAGTGCAGTTTATTCAGATGGGTAACGAATATATGAAATCTTGACATTATCAGTATAAAGCCTCTCGAAGAGGGATTTTTGCTTTGCCCCCAACGTATGAGATTGACTTGATGGATTAAGAACCACTATTATCTGGATCTTTTTGCTGACAAAGTCTTGACCCTTACTTGGTGCAGGTATTTGGTACTTCAAATGCTAGACCGGGGCACCTGGATTTTAAGTCCCACGACATTTTGTTTGTTTTTCTTTTGTCTCTCTTTTTTTTTTTTTTTTGTGTGTGTGGGACTTACTTGACTCTGTCATGCCCCATATACGTTTCACATTTTCCCTGATCTAGCACTTGTATTTGGTAGGACGATTATCGAAAGGTAGAGAGTCTTCTTGATGATTGATGATGTGAGTGCCATTTCTCAATAACTAGATTAAATTGGTTATTCTTTTTGGTAAAAGTGGGGATGCTGACGCCACTTGCTTGCCGGTATTGCGCAAATATCTCACAATTGGACTTTGACGTGCTCCGTCAGTAAGGATGGAAGCTCCTGAACAGAGGACATGACTGCTTCCTGCGTGTGATTCCTATGTATGATAAATTATATCCTTGATCTTCCTTGATATTCTAGTCATGAGAATCTATGAAAGTTTTCTTGGTATGATCTAAATGTTTGGCCCCCTGTGCATCGGGATTTGGCTATTTGACTTCACGTCAACTGAGTCTCAATTTGTTGGCGAAAGTCGACTATAGTGGTGTCGAGATTCTACAAGTAGCATGATGTCGTATACTCATTACACCTTTTGACTATTAACTCACATAATTTATGGACACTAGTAGGGTGTTTATCTCTCAATTTTAGCGAAACACGTACACTCTCAACACCAGTGGGTGCTAAATTCGTCGATGGTAGCACGGTGTTTATAATCGCTCGACACCAGTGGGGTGTTCACATTTTCATAGCATGACAATCTCATGGCTTAAATTGAAAATAAATTGAATTTGTATGGCTTTCATTTTTGTAGAAAATAAAATCCATTTTAAAGAACTCGGAAGTGGCATTCGGTATTTTGGTAAAACATTGATGCAAACTCTTAAATTAAGATCGATACTATTCACACAATGCTCCAAAGAGGTTGAAACGTGAGAGACCTTTTATTCATGATGATAAAAGAAAAAGTGATACATATTTTGCTATGGAAAATTATCTCGATATTTTATTTACTATATAGGATCAACATCATCCTTAAACCGAGCTTTGCCTTGTAGTTTGCCTACTAATTCTCATGAGTTGGCAATGGGTTATTGTTGACATCCGGGCGCTTTGGCTCTTCTTCGAACTTTAACCAGCCAGTATTTATCATTTGTTGGACCTTGATTTTGAGAGATCTACAATCCTCAGTTGAGTGTCCCGCTATTCCCGAGTGGTAAGCACAATGCTGGTCTGTTTTGTAACGATTTGGATAAGGAGGTTTCATAGGTTCACATGGTATTGGGGAGATTAGGTTACTTTGAATTAGCTGAGGGAAAAGTTCATATGTGATAGGGATAGGATCGATTTGGATAGGTTTCCTATATCTCTCATAATTATTCTGGTTTTGGTTATTTGGTGGTGGTGCGACTCGTGTCGGGCTCTGGATAGCTCGTTGAGTAGGAAAATTTGGACGTTGATTAATTATTGCAGCATTTGCAACACATGGATGGGCTTGATTGGCCTGAGGTTGATGATCCCACCTTCTTCCTCTAAATGATTCTGTTTGCATAATGGACATATGCTTCTCCTCTTCGGGCTTGGTGTGGTTTCTTAGAGGCTTCTGGGGTTTCCATCCGACCTTGCTTCAACCCCTTTTCTATTCGCTCTCCGATTACAAGCAGATCCACAAAGTTGGTTGTGGTAATTCCGACCATGTTGTTGTAGTATGGAGCTCTTAGTGTTCCGAAGAAGATTGACACCATCTCTTTTTCTGGCAGAGGAGGTTGAACGTCTGCAGCCTTCTCTCTCCACATTTGAGCATATTCTCTAAAAGAATCTTTCTCGTTCTTTTCCATATTCCTCAGATCTTCTAGGTATGGAGCCAGATCCTGATTATGCTTGTAGTGCCTCATGAATGCATCGGCAAGGTCTTGCCATCTTCTCACTTTTGTTTTCTCTAGTTGCATATACCATCGTAGGGCAGAACTACTCAGGCTGTTTTGGAAGCAATGTACCATTAGCCTTTCATCTCGGATATGGTTGGCCATTTTGTTGCAGTACATGACCAGATGAGTTTTTGGGTAAGTGGTGCCATTGTATCTTTCAAGTTCTGGCATTTGAAATTTGTGAGGAATTACGACATCTAGGACTAAACATAGTTTCGATGCATCCATAGGCTCGTACGACTCAACTCCTTCTATGCTTCTTATTTGTTCATTCATGTGTTCTAATTTTTCTTCTAGCATAGCTTCGATTTTATGTTCCTCTTGCTTCTCGGGTTCTCCGGATTTGTCATGCTTTGATGACCCAATGTCACCTTTGTCGCCTGTGTTCTTCGAAGATATGAGGATGAATTTACTACCTGAGACGTTTCCCTGAGGTTGCTCATAGTGATCGTCATCGTCAAATACGATTTCTTCCTCGTTCCCTGCAACCTCCTTCCCTTTTCTGGACAATATGCTCAATATTGTGTTGAGGTGGCTTTTCATCTCATCGAAGCCCGTTAATTTCTCATCAAACCCCACTAGCTTCTCGTCAAACCCTGTCAGCTTTCCTTTGATGTCGTTCAACTCTTTTTGAAATGCCTCCATGACGAACTCGAGCTTGGATCTAGTTAAGTACTTGAAGTCTTGACTCTTTCCTTGTGGACGAGCAATTTTAAGGAACCCTAACCAATTACTTTTATTAAATTCACTTAAATGAGTAATGAAGAGTATGAATGATGCTTATGCGATGCACAGATGCACAGATGATTCATTGGATGCACGTGCATTTTGAAAATGTTTTCATGATTTATTTTAAATGCATAAGCGAAAACACAAATAGAAAAATATTTATGAGCTTTTTTTTTGTTTTTTTTTTTAAATACATTGTTCACATAGACAAATTATTTTGCGACTGGAAGAATATAACACAAGTAATTACGTCTTAGAAAACATACATGCAGATAATAAAAACATAACCCTATTTGGGAAAACCTAGGGCTTTCGAAGGGTATAGTGACATGGTGCTAGGGTGGTTTCGGGATATATTTTGGATGGCTGAAGGTGGTACCTATATGCTGGGTAGAAAATCCTAGGAATTGGCTCCCAAGTTGTACCCTGCTATAGCCCTCTCGAGCTTGCCGGATACCTCAAATCAACCTCGAATTTGAGTTTAACTTGGTTGGAAAGTTTTGCGTGCTTTCCACTACTGTGAAAGTCACGGTACTCCTTTTCCGTTTCTAATAGGATAGCTCGGGTATAGAGCTTTTATGCATGAATGCAGAATTAAATTGCGAAAATATAAATGCGCAAATAAGAAAGTAAACACCCAACACGTAATAGGAAAAAAGCAAACTTATCGAACTTAATTATGTAGCTCGACTCTCGAAGTTCCCCAGCGGAGTCGCCAACTGTCGCACCCGTCCCTCCGGGGGTCTGTGGTCGCCGCGTCGGCATTTTTTGGGAGTCGCCATCGATCTTACTTGGAGTGGATCGAACACTCATTGGTCAGCTTTAAATTTAGGGTCAGAACCGAGATATGGTCTGCGGTTAAGAGATTCGGGTTCGGGAGTACGGTTACGTGTGGGGGAAGTGAAATCACACCCCACAACGCCCTAAATCGGTACTACTTAAGTCGATAAGTTTTTATACGAGTTGGGTGTATTTTAGTAATATTTTTGTAATTTTAGGGTCCCACTGGACCATTTAATGATTTTATCGTATTAGTTTATTATTAGGTATTTTAGGTATTTTTATGGCCTTACTGGACCACTAAAGAATTTAAATTGTATTAGTTGTAAATTAATTATACGCCTACTGACGTAAAAATTAAAAGATAAAGTTAATTGGTTAGTTGGACTCGAACCTTATCGGTTGCCTACGTACCCGTTAGACGGGATCAAAGTCCACGTAGTTCGTTTGGGCTTTGATAATTTTAAATAAAATTATTACCACGTTCCACTGACTGTGGTTCTCGTATCAAAATTTATTGTTAATAAAATTTAAGTTGATATTATGAAATTATAAAAAGATAATATAATAATTTCTGTTATTAAGAGGAGATTTGATGTTTTAGAAAAGAAACGAGATAAACTTAATCCGCAATTCTACATTTCGTATTAAGGATTTTAAAACAAATAAAAGTAAATGGGATGTTTACATTTGTGCATGACGGACTAGTAGCCCAATTGGCCAAAATGCAAGTTGTATTGCGCGTTTAGACATACGGACGTAGGTTCAAACCCCGCTCTTAACCTTTTTTTTTTTTTTTGGGATTTCTCGTTTTAATGCAGAGAAGGGGGAGGGTATTTTTGTAATAACCCAAAAACACGGTGGCAGAGTTATGTAATTTGAGGAAACCCTAAGGGTAATTCAGTCATTTTAATCGATGGGTATAAATAATCTCTAATTAAAACCTAATCAATCTAAAGAGAGGCGGCCACCATCTCTCTCTCGTCCCTCTCATTCTCGCCTCTCTCTCTTCCTCTCGATCCTTCCACTTCTATCTTCCCCTCCTCCAAACCAAATCCCAAGCCTTCAATCGTTGTCTTCTCCCCTCTTACCTCTCTACCGCCGCCGCTCTTTTTCTTCTCCTCGTCTCCAACCAACAAGAGACTTTTCTCTTCGCTATGTTGGCCAAGGAGAACGCCCGCGCTCCCAAAACGGAGTCATCTCGTCCTTCCCTCTTCCTTTTCTTCGATCGTTGGTCACGAAGGCGATTCAAACTCCCCGATTGACCAAAAATGGGCGGACCATGTAAGATCTCGGCTTGCATGTCTATTTTAAGGCTTTTCATTTGTGTTACTTAGGATCCTAATCTGGGTTTTGATTTGGTTTTATGCGAGGGAAGAATAAAAAACTCGTCGTTGAATCCGGTCCCCGCCGGCGGCAGTGGAGACAGAATACTCAACCAGACTAGGTAGATTTTTTATCTAGGTTGGATCTCGGATTGCATGTGGTTTTTTTTTAATTCGGTTCAAAAAATTGAGTTTTGATATTGTTATTTTTTGTGTTTTGATTTGGTTTTTTTTTTTAATTTTTGGCTTCGAATCTATCGCGCGGCGACGAGGCTATTTTTCGTCGGCAGTGACTGAAAGCTAACAGCAGAGGCGCATAGGCGAGTTGGGTAAGTTCGTTTTCTGAGTTTTTTTCGTGTTTTTAAACTTTGAAGGACTCTGACTAATCGATCTTGCCTTATTGCAGGTTTCAGGAGCGAAGAGGTCTAGGTGAGGTTTACTAAAGACTCTTGAGAAATTTTTAACTAAAGAAAAATTGGATTACATGGCTAAAGACTTAATGATTTGCGAACCTAAATGCTAAAAAAAATGGTTGCGTATGTGTTCTGGAATTTTGGTGTTTGGTGGATTTGGTCTATGGTTTGGATCTAATTCCAGATATGCTAGAAGTTGCTAAAAAAACTTGTTTTTCTGTAGTTTAAGTTTAATTAACATGCTGTGAATTGGTATTTTGGCGATTGGAATCATTGCACTAAATCACTGCTACTGCTTGTGATTTATTGAGATTATGATTTTTGATTGGTAAACCGATAAGGGTTTGTGAATCTGAAATTTTATTGTGTTTATTGTTGCCTAGATCTGGATTTTGATTTAGTTTGTTTATGTATGATGATCTAGTGTTTATCAACTACATGCTCAAGGATGGTATAAAAGCATGGCAGAAAATTAAAATAGACTATCAATTGATAAGCAAAGTAAATACATGCTCAATTGAGAGAAGCTCAATTCCGAAATGGACTTGCTATGAGCCAATTTTATTTTAAGTAAATAGAGTGCTTGAATACAAATGCCTTTGTAAAGTAAATCGCATGAATATAAATAGGCAAACTGATGCTGATTATAATGGTACAATGATCTAGAAACTACGCTAAATGACATGAACTTTACCAAGAACAATGGAAACAGAAATGAAAGCACCAAACTTATTAAGATTTTGGCTCCAATAACGATAGGCTTGGCACACAATTTTAGGTTGTCTGGGTTTGGGCTGGGATGGACTTCAATTTGGGTCGAACTCTAGGCTTGATATGTCTTTGAACTGTGGGCTGATCTGAGATGACTTTCTTTTCTTTTGCAGGTTGCTGGTTTGGACCTCCAAGTCTACCGCCCTTTTGTTTTTTGTTTTTTTTTTTTTTTTTGTATTTGTGAACATGATTGACTGTTAGGAATGTAGGAACGTTGTAATAAGTTAGATGATTGTATAAACCTTTTAAATTCTTCAATAATATGATTTCTACTTTCCTTGTGCATTCAAAGCTTGACACTCAATTCGAATGCATAATCAAGTACAAAACTTGAATCCAAGATCGCATTCCTGTGTAATACGAACATCCCCGATTGGTGAGAGACTGCTTCATAAGTGTATTGCTCACAAAAGAGATTGCTTCATAAGTGTATTGCTCACAAAAAATTTCTAATAATCATTCAAGGTCAAACTCATTATTATTTTCCAACTTAAATGAACCAAATATCCCAATTTAAATTATATGAAGAATCCGGACAAAATGTGGTGTCTACAATCTCTACAACTGAAGGTGGATGCTGCGGCTATTTCGCAATGAACCTCGTTGGAAGCGGAAGAATGTGTGGAAATGCACAGCAACCTCGGCAATAGAGATTATCTTTTGGGATTGAAACGAAAGATTTCATCGCTCTACTCTCACACTTTCTTGTTTGTGTGCCTGCCTTGATTCCCACATACATAACATGGCTCGCTGAATCCCTAGTCCAACTTTTCACACAATTCATCACCATCAGGAATGTTATCCCTTGCATCCCATAAGAAGCAAGCAATATTACACAGAATCAAATCCCAACCAAGATATTAAAAATCATTCACCAATCAAATTTAGAGCAACCAAAAATATACTCACTTAGCTCAAAAGACACTAGGTTCAGTGAATAAATGGATTCTGCAATCATTCTGGGTTAGGCAGTTTGAGCAAGGCAGAAGAAAGCCTTCCTTTGACGAGCAATAAATTCCAGTTCAATTAGAGGGCATTCAGAGAACTGAAACTACACGTGCAGTGTAGCCCAAATGCAATGCCTTTTAGACACCATCTATTCGACAACACCACAGAGAGCAGCATTCATCACCATACCATACTGAAAAAGCAGAATAGCTACCATTGTATCCATCATCCTTCCCCAATATAAAAAGTACCTAACAACAATCTCACCAAAAGATTCTCCTCCTAACATCCAAAGAACGTCCATCTTTGATCCAAACTCATCTGAAAAAGGAATGGCACAAGACAAGAGACTACAAATATCGGTGTTCATCTTTCTATACACAGAACATAACAAAGTGGTACAAACATAACCACGCATCACAGTCCAAGAAAGAAAACAAGTATTTGAAGAAGTCGGAACTTTGAACTTTCATTTGCTGCTGAAACTTGCAGATATTGTGTAGAAATGAGAGAGAGAGAGAGAGAGAGAAAAGATGCTAAACCTAGTAGTACTATTTTAGCTACTGTAGTAATATGACTGAAGCATTCCAGGCAACAAGAAGATCGCGAAGGGGGGTTTTTCTTTTACAAAAACAAGTATTGAAAGCGTTACCCAAATTGTCACCACCATTGATGGACAAGAACTCCACTTTCTCTTAGAGAAGTGAACAGATCCAAGCATTGCTCATACGTCTTCTCGTATTTGGGGCTCCTCACTCCAGGGCAACATCTCTGCCACCTATTGTAATGGCATTCAAGAAACAGTTCATCAATCAAACAAATCGTTCCAGTTTTGAACAACCTCGGAATCAAGTCGAACTCGGTCCCTTCCACATCCATCTTCATCACAACGAAGTCCTTCTCTGTCACCGTCCTCTTCAACCACTGGGCGAAATCAAACCCTTCGATCTCATCAACCACTCCATCGAATCCCCCACCAGAGGAAGAAGATTTCACCGGTTGAATCCTCCCCATCCCTCTCCCTTTATCCGAAACCTGTTCCCCAGGATCCCGATGGACTTCAAACGACAAAGTTTCATTCTTCACCCAAGCAGCATAAGGCAGCAACGTGACACCTTTCTTCAGCTTATACTGCTCATGGAAAGTTTTGTCAGCTTCAACTGCATACACCTCGAAGGTCTTGTTCTGCTTTGGGTATTGCTTCCTGAACCAGCTCCCGATGCTTGAACCATAGCTCCTTGCTCCAACATCTACATACACGTATCTGTTCTTGAAGCTTATATCGGCCATTGCTGGTAAATACTTAACGTTGTTTATATTCTTCTTCAGTGTAATCCATGGCTTGAGTGGCTCCTGTTTGATAAGAGGCTCGGCATCACGGACCAACTCCAGCTTGTGCCCAGGAATCGAGCACTTATTTCCCGAACCGCCGCCGGCAGGGGATTTCCCCGGGCGGCGAAAAATTTGACTGTGTTTCTGCAGAACGATCTCTCGAATGTACGGCATCGACGAATCGTAGCCGTCGACATCGCGAGACCGGATCAGCTTACAAGAATTGAATAAATCAAGAAATGAATCAAAACTATATGTATCATTCGCCCTCACATGGACCACCGCAAACCCTTCGGGTTTCAGCGTCCGGGAAATCTCCGATGCGAAATCGAGCGGGCGAGACACCCCGTCGAATCGGCCTCCGCCAGAGAAAATGAAGTCGAAGGTGTCGCCGCCGAACGGAATGCGGTTCAATTTGGAGGAAATCACCAGCGGCTTCGACGCCTTCTTGTAAATTCCAACGGCATCGGAAACGCCAATCTCCTTCAGAGCGAAGACCTCCTGGCCGAAGGGCGTCTCGACGCAGAGAGACTTGGAGTCCGGGGAGAGGAATCCTTCGGAGATCAGATCTTGGAAGACGGAGGAGTAGAAGTGGACGGACTTGATCCAGTCTTTGCTTGTGTAGAGATCACTCCTCGACTGTCCAGCCGGCTGAGATCGGACGGCCTTGTTGACGACTCCAGTTCCGGCAACGAAATTGAAGTTCTCCGGGAGGGGGAAGAAGCAGAAGTTGCCGACGTTGCAAGACTCCCCGGTTATGGTGACGACGTAGGCGAAACGGACGACGATGAGTAAGACACCGAGGAGGAGCACCCGCGCTAGAATGTTCCTCAGAAAGCTGGGCTTCCCCGCACCGACCTCCATGAATGCAGTGCGAGAAGAAGGAATTGAGTGATTTTGAAAGGAGAGAGAGTGGAAAAACAGGGGGAGGAAATCGGAAGCCCTAAAATTGCTACCGGGAGCAGAAGCGAGCGGAGGTGTGGTTAGCTCCGACTAGGGTATTTCTGCGGGAGAGAGGGGTAGAGATTGGGAAGAAGGTGAGAAGGGCGGAAGAGGAGAGCATGATTTTGAGGGGACAAGGGTTTTGATGGCGAGGGAGGAGAGCAGAGCCAGAGAGGGGTAGAGTCTGGTTTAGGGGTTGAAGGAAAGGGGAATGGACATGGCTCTGTCTGGAGGATTGAATTGAGAGGAGATTCCGAGGTGGGAGAAGAGAAGAGGGGATTTGGTTATTTGCAAGAAGGAAAGGGGAAAGTAGGCGAAAGCAAAACGGTAAGTAGCAGAGAGAGAGAGAGAGGGAATAAAGGCTGAACGCGGTGTGTGGTGTGGTGACCGGAAGAGGCGGTTGTGACGCGTAGTGCAGCTGTGCAAGTGGCCGTTGGGTTGGGTTGGGTTGGTAATTGAGATTGCCATACCCCGACGGACGACCCTTTTGCTGGGCCCTGGACCCAGAAGATTCTTTACTTTGTAGTTTGTACAGCCCAATAATTATTAATTTCTCAGATGCTCGGTTAATTAAAAAGAAAATTTTCCTTCGAGGAATCAAACGCGTACAACAGGAGGGATCATATTACATTATTACGGGTAGTTTACTATGTGGATTTGTTTTGTGGTTTTGTTACCAAAAATCTATATTTTGTACAAATTTTTTAGCCTTTTGTACAAATTTTTGTGGCTAAAAAATTTGTTGACAAATCTGTGGGGCTAGGAAAAGATTATTTCTGGTTTGAAATCGAAAAAGATAAGAGTCGATTAAAAAAATGGAGAAAATAAGGGGTTTTAACAATCTTTGCTTTCCTTTTATTTAAAATAAAAAATCGATTAATTTGGATTGCAAAATGTGCCAGGCCCAACCAGAAATGATACAAGCAAGAGGTTACAAAAGTTAGAAGACCCAAACAAAAAATGCCCAAAAAAGTCTGGAACTCAATAAGGTCCAGACCAAGGAACAAAACATTATCCAAATCTAACAAACCCTAACCGCCTCTTGCCTCCCTCTAGCATCCTCCACCGTCGCGACCGAACGTCAACCGCCACTTGACCACGCATGCACCGCCAACCCCCACCAACCACTGCCACCGTGCGCCTAGAGGGATCTGATTCAACCGAACTCGGATGGTGGGGTGAGGAAGGACGCCTTCCAAGCAAACAACCCGGAGCCAAATCGTCGTCAGCCTTCTGTCGAACCATAACAGGGAAAACAAACAAAGCGATCGGACGGCCAGCAGAGGAACTAGAGGGACGAAATCATTTGTCTTCAAGCTCTTCAGATTGTGTCCTCGCCAATGGCTACATCTCCGAAGCACCAAACTCCGCAAAGTGAAACAAGGAGGTGATCAAGCTATTGCCCAGTTATTTTCAATCTTGTCCCGGCCTATCCAATGCCTCTTCCTATCCAAGTGCAGTCTTAGTCTTAGAATATGCACGCCCCTCTCTTTCCTAAATAATCTATTAATTCCGCTCGAGCGCACACTAGACGAACTTGAGAATCAAATGACTTCTTTTTTAGAGTGCAAAACCCTTCTGGGAAGCCAGTACTGAAGGGTGGTATGGTATATTCATATCATAACATATGAACAGTAAGAACTAGCATACTTATTAAGCCTTACTCTACAGTCAAGCATGCCAAGACTAGCCGCTGAGCATTAGCCCCATTCCGTTCCTAACTGTTTACCCTAATAATTTATCTTGTACCACATCATGTATACAAGGCATCTATTGTCTTTATAAGGACAAATCAATTATAACAATTAATATTATTTAAACTAGGCCTTATGTACTAGATTGTTAAGCCTAAAAGGTCAAGTCTCAGAGAGGGCACTATTTCCATGGCGAGAAAGCTAAGTCTGGTAGACCACATTCGTCGCGAGTCCGCTGAAAGGCCTTTGTCGCGAGTTCGGTAGACCGCGTTCACCAAAAGTTTGCTAGACGACCTTTCGTCGCGTGTTTGGAGGACCACGTTTGCCGCGAGTCCCACGTTGGCTGTGAGATCTAGACATCTCTCGTCTCGAGTGAGCTTGACTGATTCGGGTCCAATTGTACACGTTTTTCACCTCATATCTTGATCATTTGGCTTTGCATTTCATCGTACCTCGACATATTTCACTCTAGGTTGTGCTTGTTTTCAGTGAAGCGCAGGCGTCCATGAAGCAGCAGTAGTTCACGGCCTGACATTGGAGTTCACGGTCTCTAAGACCGTGAACTGGAGCCACAAACCGTGTACATTGAGGCGTCCAGGGAGAAATCCGCAGTTACTACCGCGAGACGAGTTCACAGTCAACGAGACCGTGAAGATTGAGCACAAACTGTCAACCCAGGAGAGTGAAGCGGTGCGTTTTGGAGACGACACTGAGTTCACGGGCGCGTTTAGGTGTTCACGGCCGTGAACTGGCCAACGTGGCCGTGTACTGGTCACTTTCGGGCAAATATGAAGACAGCAACGGGGAGAGAAAAGGGGAGAGCTGGTTTTTGGAGAAGGAATACTTTCTTTCTCTATGGTTTCAACCCAAAACACCAAAGGGGAGTTCTAGTGAGAGAAGGACTGATATTGGAGTTTAATTGAATGCATTGATCAAACTTGGAAGCTAGGAATCAAGCCTAGAAGAAGAAGAAGAAGAAGAAGAAGATCTAGAGGTTTCTCTATAATCTCCTCTCTCTCTCTCTCTCTAGAAACTCACCCTCTTCTCTTGGGTTTAATAACCCTAGGTCTAGTTTTGGGTTTGTTGTTGATGTATGTGACAAAATCCCTAGTTTGATTGTTGATTTTACTTAATTGATGGATGTTCTCTTGAATGGCATGAGTGTGGTTTCCATTTTCATGCTTTGAGCTTTTGACCTAGGAGTGATAATCCCCTTAGAGCCCCTTCCTTGGCGTCTTCGGGTCACTCCTATCGTATATTATCTGGGTAATCACTGAGGGAGTTGATTTGACCGGTCTCCTAGCAATATACAATACCCTAGGTTGAATAGAGCACTACCCATCCATTGATTCGCCGTTCCAGGTCATTCCCGAGGAGTCCATCTCCCAGCGGTAGTGTATTTGAGTCGATCGAGCTAGGAGGATACTCAACATCGATCCAAAGGTCGGAAGTAGGGGGATTTAACCCAAGAAAGCTCCAACCTTGTAAATAGCTAGGTTAGTGGTTAGCTATGTTAGTTAGTTTAATTCTTCTAATCACCATCCTAGGTTGGCTAGATAACGAACCCTAAACCTGAAGTAGGGTAAGCCTAGATCCCCGTGGTACGATAAATTCTTATTGCTTGCCCTATGCTACACCCGTTCGGTGGTTATACTTGATCGTCGATTGTGATGTTGTAGTTAGAATGAGTCATTGACCTTGGTGGTCGCGAGATCTAGATCTAGAGCGTCAATCGCGAGGAAGAGATCAGACCAAGATAGTCGCGAGTGGGCATTGTCTCATGGAGTTTGGTAGACCTCGTTGGTCGCAAAATCTAGATTTACTCAATCTTATATCTAACCGTCCTGGTCCTGGTGGAGAGGAGGCAAACACCAAGACTTCAGTTCCTGTAGAAAGAGGAACTTAGGCGGTTAACAAGCAGCTGCCAATTTTCCACGTTCAAGCATACGTCATCGACGTCTGAGGAAGAAGGGAAGCAGTTTTTTTTTAAATTTATTCTCTAGAAGGTTGTGTGCGACGGTTACTCATCATAGCTATAAATAGGAGGAGGGGGTTGACAGAGAAGTGGTTGGCAAAAATCACTACTCGACACCACTTTTCAACCTTTTATTAATCAATTGCTTTGCGGGTGATCTTCTCTTATTTACCAAGGGGTCTGCTCAGGCAATACTGCAGGTCAAAGTAATTCTGCAGCAATTCTATCAGATCTCGTGGCTTAAAAGCAATCCGGCCAAGTGTGAAATTTACTTTGGTGGTGAGTCTGTCCTCTACAAAAGAAATGCTCTTGCTCTTACTGGGTTCCAGGAAGGGAGCTTGCCGGTTCGGTATCTGGGTTTGCCTCTGCTGGCTGGTAAACTATCCTCCACACAAATTGATATACTGGTTGAAAAAATTACCAAAAGAATTAGGTCGTGGCGTGGTAAAAAGCTCACCTATGCAGGACGTGGTGTGAACTATGTTAAATTAATAGTTGTCCACAAAAGTGAAGGTACAATCAATTCGATTTAAATACAAATTTTCTTGCTGGCAAATAGTAATTATACAAGTTTTGATTTACCGACTCCCTCGTCTCTTCCATAGTTGGGTGAGGGTCGTTCATAAATAAGTCCCTGCAAATTCTCTTTTTCCATTCTCCACCTCTCTCTCTCTCTCTCTCTCTCTCTCTCTCTCTCTCTCTCTCCACAAATTCTCTCCATAGCTTAGCTTATTCCCTTATATGACCTCCCACAGTTAAAAAAAGAGTCTCAAGGAGAAACAGCTCATTATATTACCTCATCAATCCCCAGCTAGCGGACATAGAAGCTAAACATGCTCCCATCAATTTTCCTTCTCTCCAGAAGCCATCTCACTAAGCGAGAACATCAATCCAATTCCACAGTCTTCTCTTCCCTTCCCACCACTTATTCCCTCTTCCAGTCAGTTAAACCATTTCCAGCTGTCGCGATCGGAGCCTTCAATGATCTAAGATCTCCCACTGCAAATTCTTACAATGAGGGTAAGAAATACAGCGGAGAAGTTAATGGAGCATCACTCAGCATTAACGTCAAAGTCTGCCCATCTGATTCACTAACAAGGAGAAAGAGCATTAAAGGAATGGCAAACCAGGGGAAGTCAATGCAACCACCTCCCAAACCACCTGAGAAGGTGGCCATAAATCCAAATCTGGGGAGGAAAATCTCAAGATCAGACGGAGGGTGTAATAAGGCACAGGTAACGGTGGGTGTAAGGGCTATGGAGGATAGGCAAGAGGGGTCCTACCCCGAGGAAGATCCACACGGCAAGAGTAACCAGCAGAGCCCCTGCGAACATAGCTTGAGAGTATATGCAGCAATCATTAACACCACAACGAGAAGGAAGGTCGGGCTAACAAGCTTCCAGCCACAGCAAGTTAAGGCTACGAGAGGCAAAAGAAACAGAAGGAACCACAGAATCCAGCCGCCTGACAATACCCCTGAAATAGCCACTACAAAGAGGATGGAAATTAATGCGAAGGTGAGCATGCTACACAAAAGGCAAGTAAGAGGAATAGAAAGCAGTAGACTAAAAGAGGGGAAGGTGAGATACACCCAGCAATTAATGCAGAAAGCATTGA